TTATTCATATGTGGTGCTGAGGATGGAACCCAGGGCCCCACACATGCTAGGCAAGTGCTCTACTACTGAGCCACAGCCCCAGTCCTCCTTTATCTCTTGATGGACACCAGAGAGTCAATTTTGTTTGGTGGTGACTACTTGGAGGGGGACAGGCAAAACAGCAGAAATGACTGGGGACTATGAACAGCAGGTAGGGAGGGGGTGGGTGGCCTTGGTTCTTTATCACCATGTTCTTGTCCTTTCGTTTTATAATCAGATCTGGTTCCTCCATCTCTTGAATATCTGGCTTTACTTCACAATCAAGATTATCCTGCTTTGGTCCCCACCTAAAGATTGGAGTAAGGGAAGTGGATGGCCAGTTTTCCCCTGTTTGATGCCCTGTCCCCCCACACACTTTCTTGAAAGTTCTTCTTAGTTCAACTTCAGAAACATTTTAGGCACTGACTTGTGTGGACCCCCATATCTGGGGATCTAGTTCAGTGGGAGAACTCTGCTTTTCATGTGCAAAGCCCTGGGTTCAGTCCCAGCACTGCCAAAGAAAAAAAATAGTGTCTTTTTAAAAACCTGCAAACATTAAGATTCTAAGTTCAATATGTTGCTCTACCAAGTTAATAAAGCCTCCAGAGAGAGTTGTGGGAACCCCAATTCACAGACAATCAGTCGGAAGTTCTGGAGGCCCAGACTTGTGATGGGTTTTAGTCTAAAGTAAGAGAACAGAGCTGGGGCTTGGTGGTGTGAGCCTTTCACCTCTGCTGAAGCCAGAATTAAAAGAGGCAGTTGGAATAGTTAGGGAAATCAAGTCAGCGCCAATCTAGAAGGCCAATTTGAGTGAGTCCTGGAAGTTGGAGAGGGATTGAATTGTTAATGCCTTCCAACCCCTTCCTCCACCCTTCTAAGATAACCTGCCCCTGCTCCAACCTGTTGCTAAGGTAACCCTACCCAGAGATTGTCCCTCCTTACAGGGAGTTGTTAATTATGCCCCCTTCCTGCCCCGATCACTCCAACTTGGCCCCTCTAGCTCATCTGCTTCTCGCCTTTTGGTTAGCCCACTGAGCATCTCCTGGGCCTAGGCAAGTAGGGAGGAAGGAGGGAGATAGGGGGAAGAGAACAGGAGAGCAAAGGAAGCCTAAGATATATAAAAAAAGACAAAACTCCTCACTTCCTGGGATGCCAGGATACCAGCAATGGCCCTCTTCTCTCTCCTGGAAGAAGTCTATGTTACCCCTTTTTATTTTTTTAATTTAATTTAATTTTTTAATTGTTTACCTGTCCAAGATCTTATTAGCAGGACCGTAGCGGCCAGTCGTAGAAGAGAAGAAGAGAGAGAGGAGAGAGAGGGGAGAGTAAGAGAACGAGCATGAACAGGGTGTTGATGTTTATGGGCTAAACGTGGGTGAGGAGGAGCAAGGCAAGTGGGCAGCTACTTCTTCATTGGCCGAGAGTTCGAGCCACTTCAGGGATTGGAGGTGTGTCATTCAAAGTTCGAGCCATGCACAGCGATTGGAGGTGACGGTTGGTGCACCATTCAGTGCATCATGGACCTGAGCTCCCAGAAGAGGAGCGCTCCAGGCACCATCTTTACCAACATTCCTCCCTTTTTTGTTTTGGGTTGGGGGCATTGTACTCAATCTGGCTACTTCCTGCTGAGTAGGGGCGTCATTTAGAGGGAGGGAGGGAGGTCAGTTGGTTGGAGAAGGAGGGCCAGGAGGCCTCATATCCATGCACTGAAGGCATGGATTTCCTCCGGGGAGAAGTCCATGAATGTGCCCTGCAGCTATGAAAAGAAACAGCATTAATTTCTGGCATGTCTTCC